TATATATATATATATAAATAAATATATATATATATAATGTATATGTGTATATATTCAGTGCCTTTTATATCGGTGAGTTATTTTGATGGAATGGCCGATGTGCAATATTTAACTTGCTAATATCGCCCAATACTGATACCATGCCAATAATATCGTACATCCCTACATTTTAGTTCAGGACTTTGGATGCAAACTTGTTTCCACCTGTTTTAATGTCGACTTTAGGCGAGAGATGATGCCTCTTCTGTCCCTCATCTTCTCTGCTTTGTTCATCTTGTTTGGGACGGTGGTCATCCAGGCCTTCAGGTCAGTTCAGTTTGTTTTATCCACATTTTTATTTTATTTTTACTAGAAAACAAATATAGCAAGTGTTAATGACAGGAAAGGAAAAGCAGAATTCAAAAAAGCAGTAATGCTGATGTTTTGGTCTTTTGTTGCAGTGACTCAAGTGATGAAAAACAAGTGAAACCAACATCAAAAGAAGCAGAAAATGGATCCTCTGAGACCATCAGTACCTCGAGGTGAGAACACTTTCAGTAGTAACTTTTTTAGGATTTCAGTTACTTTTTTTATTTTTAAGTTTTTTTGTTGTTGTTTTTTTTTAGTCGGCCTCCTAAAAAGAATTTTGTGGAGGTGACGGAGCTGACGGACATCACCTACATGAGCAACCTGGTGAAGCTGAGGCCAGGACACATGAACATAGTCCTCGTTCTCACCGACGCCTCCAAGAACCTCCTTCTGAGCAAGTTCGCCAAGGAGGTCTACTCCTTCACGGGGTGAAGCAGAACTTTCTCTGTGCAATAGCTCAATTTTCTTTGAGCGGTTTTTTGTTTGTCTGAATGTTGATTCATCATTTACACTTGCTTTCCTGTTTTTTATGTACTGGCACATTTTTTGCAATTTAACTACTTGTGTATACTTTATATTATTTTAGCCGTTCGTAAAACATTCAGCTTATTCAGGAGATGCGTGCTATGGCCTTTGTTTTTTGTAACGTTTATACTTTTAAAAGTTATAAATGTTTTCAGTGTATTTTTATAAAAATACACCAAAATCTCTTAAATTCTTTAAAAACATTGCTCTCTTTGACATCTACCTTTATTGTGCGTTATTTTTTTTGTTACTTTTAGCTTTTATGTAGCTTTTTACAACTTTTAAGTTATAATTTTCCCAAGTTTTTGGCTTTGACTTAGCTACTAAATTAGCTTTTGTTACTTTTAGCTAGTGTTTTGCTACTTTAGCTTTTGCTAAATTTTTGCAGTTTTAGCTAGCATGTTGCTAATTTGCGTCTTTAGCTAACCTTTTGCATTTTTTGGCTTCTAGATACAGTTTTGCCACTTTTAGTTTATAGCTAGCCCACTTACCCAGCTCACTGCTTTTTTCCTTAGATTAAACGTTTTACAGTTTTAGCTTGTATGTTGATATTTTTAGCCTTTAGCTAGGCTTTTGCATCTTTTGGCTTCTAGATACTGTTTTGCTACTTTTAATTTATAGCTAGCCTTTCACTACTTTTACCTTTAGGTTAACTGCTTTACAGCTTTTAGCTAGTATGTTGCTACTTTTCAGCTTTAGCTTGTCTTTTGTCTCTTTTAGCTTCCAACTAGCCTTTTGGAACTTGAGCTTTAAGCTAGTCCTTTGCTACTTTTAGTTTTCATTGAGGGTTTACCTGCTTCTAGCAAACATGTAGCTCATTTTAGCTAGTGTTCAGCTTCTTTCAGTTTAATAATTTAGCTTCAGCTGTCATTCAGCGCTCAGAATTCTCACTGTAAGTTTGCAGAAATGCTGGCTCTTAAGTTTCTAGATGTTTGCTCATGTTTTCATGTCAACTCTCTCCTAGGAGTCTGACGCTGCACTTCTCCTTCCTGAACCTGGACAAGCACAGCAAGTGGATGAGCACGCTGCTGGAATATGCTCAGGACGTCGCGCAGATCGACACAGACGAAGACGACGGCGGTAACCGGAGGAGAGACTTCACCGGCTACGTGCTCGCCCTGAACGGCCACAAAAAGTACCTGTGTCTGTTCAAGCCCGTCTACACCGGGGAAGACCATGACAGTAAGTCGTCCGAGGATGAGGGGGGGCCATCTGGGGGGAAGTTGAGATCCAGCTCCCGTGACAATCACCCAGCGCGTAAAACGAACCGCTCCCGCAGCTCCTCCACCCTGCACATCCACCACAAACTGGACCGCCTGGGCTTGTGGATGGAGAGGCTGATGGAAGGTACTTTGCCTCGTTACTACATCCCAGCCTGGCCGGGACTCGACAAGATCACCGCAAATAAATAGACCAATGAAGAAGAACTTTGTATTGGTCTCCTGTCAGTTGAAAACAATTTTGTCATGAAAATTAGGACAAAAGTTGTCTTTTTTTACTATTTGGGACATTTGATAGGTGCAGATGTAATATAAACAAAACCATCTTTACAGGTTTAGTCTTTGCTAGGGGACTTTGTCCTTTAGACTACCTTTACTGCGGAGTGCATGCTGTTTTTAAACTGCTGTTGGTCATACTTCATTCAGACAAATGCTGCTGCTACAGCCCTGTAAAGATAAAATCACTGTGGCCGCCTGCGCTCCTGTTATCTAATTCAGTCACACTAAAAGAGGCGAGAACGACCCAAGTCCGTTTTTTCATCTGTCAGAAGAAGAGGACGAAAGGATCCATGTTTTCAGACTGTGGCGATCACACTTTGGTGAAGAAAGCTAAACTTCCTGTTTGGATCTTTCTCACCTTTGGCCCTGTTGTTGTGGAGAAATCTGGTCTTCAATCCTGCCTGATCACATAGTAAACAGTTCAGCAGTGCATAAAGCCTCTGTTAAAGAATACTGTGAAGATGCATGTACAGTATTTAATATTTACCATGTTTGCCTTTCATGCATCTCAGACCTTTTTAGGGTTCATTTGCTTGTGCAAGAGAGCAGACTGCTGTTATGATCATGCCTTTAACTCTGGACCTCAAGATGTACGTCATGATCTTCCGTGATCTTGTGCTCTTGCAGGAAAAAAAAAAAACTTTTTTTTTTGTTGCATTAAAACAGAAAGTGTTTGACATGTGCACATTAAAAAGAGGAAATTCCTCATGTTTTAGGCTGTTTGGCCGTAGCTTTATGTAGCAATGAGTAAGCTGTCTATTTTTAGCTTTTAGGTATTTTTCCAAAGTCAGAGTAATTATACCTGATATTTTTTAACACTTGAAAGTGAAACTTACTTTAGGCTTGCTTGATGTTTTTTAATTTTTGTATTTTTTGTTGTTTTGTTGTAGTTTTTGTTCAACACACTGATTACCTGCTCTGGTTACTGCATTTACCCTTTTCTTCCCCTAAAAAACTTCATTTGTTGTTGCGACTAATCCATGTAAATGATCCTGTTTCCTATATAAGATGTGTATTTTACACCGTCTAAAAGCTGAAAATATTACTTGACCTCACATAAAATATGTGCTTATGTTAGTGCTTTATGTGTAACCATTATTTATGCTGCTGTAAGATGTTCCAGGTCGTCCTCGGTGCATTTACTGTCTTGTTTGTTGTAATAAAATAATTTATGTTAACTGTCTGACAGGATAAAAGATCTCCCACGTTGTGCTGTCACTCAGCAGAGTTTTGTGGTTTAATCAGTCATTTAATGACAAAATATCTGCAGTGTTGAAGGATGGAGACATTTAAGTATAGACCCCACAAAGTTAATTTTAGTCCCCTAAAGCTAAAAAATATAATTACAGCAGAAAACTGATTTAAAAGACCAATGAGTTTGGTCATAATCACAAAGCGAGCAAACACATTTAGTTTCCTTTTTTTGTAAATATTATTACTTATCTATCTTTTACACAGTCCACAGATTAGTCAGACAACTTACGAGTGAATTTTTAAATATATTTTTGGTAAAAAACGTAGTTTAACGTTGGCCTGGAGGCTGTGACCTCGTGGCTCCATCATCATGTTTGTGCAACAAGCTTCAGAGGGATGAGCAGATCTCAGTCCCCTTTTTTATTTTAAAGTAAAATAAACAACCCATGTTCCTGTTTATCACTGCTGAAGATAGGCCCCAGTAAATTAGAAGTGTGTAAAAATACTGTATTTTCCACTGCACACGTCGCACAGCCGTATAAGTCGCATCAGTCCAAATATGTCTAATAAAGTGGGGAAAAAACCCAAGTACATCACTTCGTCGTATAAGTCGCATCTATTATGTGTCACCGCTGACAACTCGGAAACGTGGGCCGGTGTTGTGCCAAAAATTGATTGGTTGTCAAATGGCTGCTGCGGGAGCGTGCACAGGAGGACTAACAAGAATTTAACAAAATTAACACTTTAAAACAATTGTTTGTTTGCTCAAAATTATATCAAAGGTGTGTCTCAGTTGAACTTTTCCTTAATAAATACTCTTTGACGGTCAAATCAGCTGCATTTTCAAAAGTCGATTTGCGGGAGTGCGCCGAAGGATGACACGCTGTGCATTTCTTCGAAATTTAACAAGATAACCACCTAAAAACAATTGCTTGCTCAAAATTATAGTAAAGGTGTATCTCAGGTGAACTTTTCCTTAATAAATGCACTTTAATGGTCAAATGAGCTGCATTTCTCCACGCCAGTTCTGGAGCGAGATGAAGGTGGTTTGGTATGGCAAGCCAAGTGCCTCATTAATAGCCACTTTTACCTATTAATGAGGCACTTGGCTTGCCATGTTAGTCGTGGGCCCTCTAGTGACTGAAAATGGTAGTGTTCAATATTTTTCACGTCACAGTGAATGACATCGTCAGATCTCAGCCAAAAACTTATAAATATTGGAAAAACATAATACGTCACTTCAGCGTATAAGTCGCAGGGCATGCAAATTATGTAAAAAAACTGTGACTTATACACCGGAATATATGATATATGAATAGCTATTTGGAGGCGTTACGGTGGTGCAGTTGGTAGAGTTGCTGCCTCTCAGTGAGATGGTTGCCGGTTCAAATCCCGGCCGGGGGACCCTTCTGGGTGAAGTTTGCATGTTCTCTCTGTGCATGCGTGGGTTTTCCCCCGATACTCTGGTTTCCTTCCACAGACCAAAAACATGCATGTTAGACTGATTGGTAACTAAATTGTCTCTAGGTGTGAGTGAGAGACTGAATGGTTGTCTCCTTTGTCTCTATGTGTCCCTGTGATGGACTGGAGACCTGTCCAGGGTGTACCCTGCCTCTCACACAGCGATGGCTGGATATGGGCACCAGTGACTCAAAAAGGAAAATAAAACTGTTAAAAGATAATGGATGGATGGATGGATAGCTATATGGATGTTTATGTTCATTTCAGCCTCTTATCATATAAAGTTAATAAACTTTCTGAAAACAACCAGCAGGTGGTGGTGTAGTCTGGCAACCTGCACAATGATCACCAAAACGACAAGTAATCTGCAGCTCAGAGTGAAAACAGTGGGAGGAAAAGTGACAAGATGGGAAGAAAAATTATTCCTGAAACACATTCTTAAATATATTTAAGAATTATATAAGTGTGTGGAGTTTGAGGCTGTGATGGTTTCAATTCAATTCACTTTATTTATACAGCACCAAGTCACAACAGAAGTCGTCTCAGGGCACTGAACAGAAACATTCATATATAAAAATAATAATTTAACACTATTTATCTGAAGAGCAGACTGCTTTGAGTTTAACTCCATCGCAGAACTCTCATTAATTCATTTAACAGGATGAATAGTTGAAGCTGTGATTTTTCAGTGACGTGAGGTCACCAAGAAAACAATCACCTGTTAGTAAAATAACTGCAAAAGTGACAGAAATATTTTATTTATGTGAAAATTAACTACGCCTTACATCCAACAGAGAATTACCTGGGTGGGGTTTATATTTTGTCCCTCATCTTTCGTCTGTGAAGTGAAACACCTCCATCCAGAAGGTGGAGGAAACTTCAGAACGATGGGGGAGGCGAAGACTTTATTGTTTTAAGACATGCTGTTGGTTTTTGGTCAGTTTCCTCTGTTAAAAGGTTTGTTTTTTTTATTTCAAATATTAAAACCGTGGGATCAATGAGTGTTCATCAGAGAGGGGGAAGTCACACCCTTCCTCACAGATTTGACCCCAGACACATTTCTTGGCAGACCTTTACTGTTATGTGCAAAAAAAATAATGTGATTGTGTTTATTTCCCTTCTGTTTCATTCAGTTTCATTTCTGACTTTTGCACAGAACCACATCCCTTTAACAAACTCATTCCTTCATGCAGCTACAACTTTGACACAACTTCCTCTGAGTTATTCTAAAATCGACCTATTTTTGATGGTGCACACATGCTCACACATTCATGCACCGATCTATATCTTAAATGTCAGCTCTCGTTGAGTCCGACTCTGCAGAAAGCATGAAATCCTGAACTCTCAGACGGTTAAATCCATTCATCAATTCATCCCGTTTGACCCATTTCTGTCATCAAATCTAGAGCCTGGCTCGTATTTAAAACTCAAGGAAATATAAAAGCAGCTAAAACTTTACTTGCAGTAAAATAAGTTGTCTAATTAATGTTCCCCTCCTGTAATCCCACATCCTGAGCCGTTTGAATTACCGGATGATCAGCCGGTCCTGGAGAAGGATTTGTGCTCGGGAAAATTGCCTTCTGATGAAAATCCATGGAATTAACCCAAAGCAGGAAGTCAAAGGAACAAGTAAATCTATACAAGTTGAAATATTAATGAACCCTGATTGAGTTTTAACAGGTTGCAGCAGAACCTTAACACGAACAAATTCATGTGAAAAAGTCACATCATTGATTTTGAAGTGGACATACTGCAATAAATTATGCTTTTGTCTTAAACTTTATCACACAAAATTAACTTGCTCAACTATCAAGTCCCATTTGAGTCTTATTTTTTGTAAAATATCATCAAACATATGAATTCATATCATGTAATTCAAGAAGCAGCTCCACACAGTCTCTTTCTCTGCATGTTCTTGACTTTTCTACTGATGTGAGACCCCATCTCTACTTGAGTTATAGAAGTTAAAGCAAAATGGAGAAAAAACAAAGACATTTTAAATATTTTCCTTTGAGTTCTCATACAAATGAAATGGATGAGCTTGAAGCACCGACACAGAGTCACTGGGATTATTAGAAAGCCGTGCTATGCGTTTCACTAAAACTGGGCTGCAGCTTCATTTCTTGGCTTTTCCACCTGACTTTTAGATTTATGAGAAGATAATCCTGGGAGACTGCAGCGCTTGGTTACAACAGATAGTCTAATCTTAGATATGATCCAGAGAATGAACACCTCGGTACCTTGGATATTAAACTGTTGGCTTCTGGCGACCAAGAGATTCCCTCCGTTTTGGTAGCTGAAGGCGACATGTTCGGTATTTACTCGAGCCTATCCAGCATAAATAAATTATACTGCAACATG